CCCCCCCCCCCCCCCCCACCCACTTTGATGCATTTTTCAAATTTCGCCTTGGGGCGGAGTTATCTTTTCACAGGGGGGGGGTAAGATACACTTTAAACACTTTTTTGTTTGGTTAAAGCACCACCGAATGTTTTGAATTGGTCAAATATGATGATGACCTGTTCAAGGTGTACCCTGCCTTCCACCCACTGACCACTGAAGTTAGGCACCAGGGCTTCACAGCCATGAACCAGAACAAGCAGATGAAGAAAACGATAGTTTTATAAATGGATGGAACTGTGACGGATGCCCCTCTGGATGCTAAACAAGTTTTATGTCCAAACATCAAAAACATTTCTTCAGATCAAACAAAAACATGGATTTATTCGACACTTCAGCACTAATTTCTAGTGGTTCAGTCAAAAAAACAAAAGTCATACCAGCAGTGGGGTCTTTGCTGGTGGTGTCCAGAGAGCCTGCCAACAAAGCGTTGACATTGCAGATGGGAAACTCATGCAGCGTTTTGTGAAAATGAGCAGGGAAGCCAAAACACTCCACACCCGCCCGTACAGGCCCCCCTCCTGGGTACATCTGAATCACCGAGCCGTAGCCTGGAGGAGGAGGAGAGAGCCGAACGTAATTAAACAAAAGGGCAGAGTAAAAGGCCTTGCTCAAACTGCATGAAAAAAAAAACTTTCATCTTTCCGACACATCCAGCTGCACACACATTCTAAGAGCAAACCAACCTCCCATTCGTTCCATGACAGCTCCCAGTACAAGGCCAGCACACGTCTCAAACACCAGAACTTTACTGCCAGCATGGATGTTTGACAGCGTCAACATTTGTGCGAGTGTGTCATACCGCAGGTGGCTGCGTCACATGGAAACACAAATCGAATGGAGTCAGCCTCCTAATGCTGAGGGACAAACATCACATGTACTGTTTGTTATTTGGCCAACTCACCAGATCTTTCCCGGTTCGCGGCCGTGGTACATCAGAGCCAAGATACGACATGTTGGTTTCAGAATTGTTACGGTGTTTTCATACCTGGGAAACAGCAAGCATTGATGAACACATCACATTTATTTTAGCCTGAGTGTATCATCAGAAGTGACTCACTTCTTCTTCTTTTTCTTGATGTACTTATCCTGGGCATATCCTGTTTTATTACTAAACGTGGAGCTGTTGTCGATCAGCTGCTGGATGATTTCCTGAGGACCAAACACACATCCGTTACCCCACCTCACACTTTACTTTTGTACATATGCTAGGGCTGCACGGTATTAGGAGAACCTGTGATGTGCGATAACAGTGCTTAATATTGCGATGATATGACTTGCTATAAATAAAAAAAAAATACGTATGTATATGTAGTGTTGATATCTTTCAGCTCTGGGTTCAAAGCCCAAAAAAAACAAACAAAAAAAAAAATCATTTCCATTCCAGCCTGATTTTTTTTAATCAACCAAATACATGAAGGGCTTTATTTGATTGGTGAAATATTTCAAACTTCTATCTGAATGACAAAATGCATAAATGCAAATTTTTGAGTGAATCATTTATTGCAGTTTATGCAGTTGTTGCAATATGCATATTGCACAGGCTGTTATTGAGATGATGATAAGTGTTCGATATATTGTGCAGCCCTAACGTATGCTTAGCTTGTACATTTACGTTTTTAAAACAAACTTCCCAAAAATTACATTATGGTATTTGAATTTGTGAACATGTTTTGTTTGAAAATAAATACACTAAACTAATTAAAATTGTATACACAGGGTGAGTCAGAAKTCACAGGACACTCTTATTTAAAAAATGGAAAATGACATATCTGAATACCTCAACAAGTAATGGGTGAGGGGGCCTACCTTTTAGACTATATCCAGAGCATAAAAAAGATGTCATAACGGCTCAATGGCAAGCTTTTGTAAAATTAGGTCCTCTCACATGTTACATGCTGGTACAGTATATTGAGATACACCATTTTCCCTTTTTATCTTTTTTAAATAAAAAAGGTGACCCATGGCTTCTGACTCACCCTGTTTTATCTCCTATTAAGTCCAACTCATTTAAACACTACAACAGGTTTTAACTTAAAATATGGTCAAATTAACTGATCCTTCTCTAAAACAATTCTGAATTACAGCGGGTAAAATAAGTATTGAACAAGTCACCATTTTTCTCAGTAAATATATTACTAGAGGTACTAATGACATGAAATTTTCACCAGTAGTCTGGTCAGATGAGACCAACATTGAACTGTTTGGATGCCAGAATACACATCATGTCAGGAGGTCAAATGGCAC